TTTAGATTATAGTTTTGTGGGTACAAGAGCATGGTACCAATATCTGCCTGGCTTTGGTAGAGAACTTTTTGGCTGCCTCATGTGGTATGTGGCATCAAAATGGCAGAGCCAATGTAAGAGTCAGAGATCATATGAGGCAAAAAGCCAGAGAGTTGCCTCTCAGACTTATTTCTTTATAATAGTTCTCTTGTGAAAACTAACCCTGGTCACTAACTCCTTCCAAGGATGGGGCCCTTAATCACTTAAACACTTCTCATTCGTCTCTACCTCCTTTGCTTCCTTGTAGTTTTGTTTTTGTTTTCCTTGTTGTTTGATTGTTTCTTGAGACAGTATCCCTTTATGGAACCTAGGCAGGTTTATAACTCACCTTTATGGCCCAGGCGATCCTTCTGCCTCAACCTCCCCCCAGTTCTGGGATTAATGGCAAGTGCTGCCACACTAGACTATGCCTCCTAAAGGTTTTACATTTCTTTTTCTTTCTTTCTTTTTTCAGTTTTTTAGACTTTTATTATTTTATGTCTTTGCATCTGTGCACCATATGAGTGGTGTCATAGAAGGTGGTGAGCTTCTGTGTGGATGCTGGGAATCGAAACCAGGTCTTTTGCAACAAATGCCCTTAAATCACTGAGCCTTCTCTCCAGCCCAGGTTCTAGATTTCTTAGTTTCCAACATAGTCACAACAGGAACAGAACTACCATCATCCACACATAGCCTGATACTAGCAATCTTCTTGGTGTATTGACTTTTTATGTGTATACATGTTTTGCCTGAGTGTGCGTCTGTATACTACATGCATGCAGTTCCTATAGAGACCAGAAGAGGGTGTTGGATCACCTGTAACTGGAGCTGAAGACAGTTGTTAGCTGCCATGTGTGGGTGTTAAGAACTGAATTCCTGTCTTCAGAAAAACAGCATGTGCTCTTAACCACTGAGCCATCTCTCCATCTTATGGGTGGTGATGGTTGTTTGTTTTAAGATGTGGTCTCTCTGTGTATCTCTGACTGACCTGGAACATGCTATATAGACCAGGATGACTTTGAACTTACAGAGATCCGCCTGCCTCTTTCAAGGTGTATAAAATCACACCACGTTCTCTTTATGCTAGGACCATGTTCTCTTTACTCTAACCTGTCAATATGTAACTCTTTCCTCTAAGTTTTGACTGGAAGATTGAGCAATTTTTATAACATAATTTTTTATTGATTCTTTGGGAATTTCACATTATGCACCCCAGTTCAACTCATTTTCCAGTCCATCCATGTCCATCTTTTACCTTTGTATCCTTCCTCTCCAAAGAAGAAGAAGAAGGAGAAGAAGAATTCACTTTATTCCTCTGTCTTCCCATCACATATTCCTTTGTCTTAATGGCACTGGGAGCTGCAGTGTGTCACATAGTATATATACCCTTTCGCTCAAACAGCTTTACTTGCAAGTGTTCAATGCAATGAGTTGTTGGTCTGATTCAAGGCCTCTGGCTTTACTATACCATCAGTACTGGACCCTCACTGAAACTCCTCTTGGATATCCTGCTGTTGCCCTGTGTCATGGAGATCCTGTAGTTATGCATGTTTCTGCAGGACCCATTCCTTCATGCACTCCAGCAGCTCATAGATGGGGTAGGTGTTGGGATGGGTCAACTCAAAACCCTGGATGTGGGCCTGGGTGGTAGCTGAGTTGGTCAGACTGGGCCTCCACGGGGACCCCCATGTTGTGGAATATTGTTTTAAGATGTGTTATGGGCTGGAGAGATGGCTCAGAGGTTAAGAGCACCAGCTGCTCTTCCAGGGGCCCTGAGTTCAATTCCCAGCCACCACATGGTGGCCTATAACCATCTATAATGAGATCTGGTGCCCTCTTCTTACTGCAGGCATGTGTGCAGGCAGAACACTGTATACATAATAAATAAATGAATCTTTAAAAAAAGATGTGTTACATCCATTTATGCTGTGGAATATTTGCATAATGTTGCATAAATTTGTAAAACATTGCATAAATGATGCAAAGATGTGTTGCATTCTTTTATGTTACATTTGTTTAACTCTGTGAAGCTGTGTTACTTTGCCTGCCTAAAACACCTGATTGGTTTAACAAAGAGCTGAATGGCCAATAGTAAGGCAGGAGAAAGGATAGGTGGGGCTGCCAGGCAGAGAAAATAAATAGAAGAGAGAGACAGAAGAGCAAAGAAAAGAGAAGGAGAAGATGATGCCAGGGGTCAGCCACACAGCCACAGAATAAGAAGGAAAGAAAGGAATATAGAATAGAAAAAGCCAAAATCCCAGAGGCAAAAGGTAGACAGAATAATTTCAGAAAAGCTGACTAGAAATATGCCAAGCTAAGGCCGGGCATTCAAAAGTAAGAATAAGTCTCCATGTATTTATTTGGGAACTGGGTGGTGAACCCCCCAAAGAGTCAAAAAAAAAAAAAACCCCAAACCCAACAACACCTACTCTCAAGACAAGGGGCAGGGTCAGTTCTCCCTCACCCAAAACGCCATGGCTGCCAGGCAGGAGCAGAGGCAGCTCTCCTGCACCCCTGCTGTAGGGTCGGTTTTCCTGAGTCCATGCCACTCTCCTGCTGCAGCTGCAGTTGATGGACAGGGCCAGCTCTTCTATGCCCAGGCCACTGGGCTAGCTCTCCTGAGCCCACAAATTGGGCAATTTAAATCTAAAGTAGTCACTGATAGTCAATGACTTGTTTTGCCATTAAAAAAAAAATTGGTTTTAGTTCCCCCCGCCCCATTTCCACCCTTCCATGCGATCAGCATTTGATTAACTTCTAATCTCCTTTTGTATATATTGTACAGGTGTACTTTGTGGTTATCATGCGGGTTACATAAGACCTCACAAAGTTATCACAATCCAATTTGAGTAGATGCAACATAACCTCAATTACTTATAAAAACATGTTCTTATGGCACTCTATGTTGTCCTCCATTTCTGTGTTATTGAAGTCACAATTTATATCTTTAGGTACTGTTTACCTACTAAAGACAGATGTATGGTTCTTTGTATTTACTGTTTTCAAATCTATATTTTTTTTTTTTTTTTTTTTTTTTTTTTTTTTTTTTTTTGGTTTTTCGAGACAGGGTTTCTCTGTGTAGCTTTGCGCCTCTCCTGGAACTCACTTGGTAGCCCAGGCTGGCCTCGAACTCACAGAGATCCGCCTGGCTCTGCCTCCCGAGTGCTGGGATTAAAGGCGTGCGCCACCACCGCCCGGCCATTCAAATCTATATTTTAAAAGGAGAGTTACACACTAACCTGAAAACAGCAAGCTTTTGGTTTTGTTCATTATTCGCCTCTAATGGAGATCTTCACATCTATCCTTCATCTGCTCTCACCTTCTTTTTCATTTCCACCTAAACATTTGGCTCATCATCTCTTACAGTGTAGCTCTGCTGATCATGAATTCCCTCCTCATCTGTTCACTTAGCTTCATTGCTGATTTGGAGGATAGTCTTACTGGGTATAGAATTTTTGGTTGACTCTTGGTTTGTTTGTTGCTCGTTTTAGCACTTGAAATACATTTTCCCATTTCTGCTGGACTCCTGGATTCCTCGTTGAGGAGTCGGCTGCTAATGATGATGGAGGATTCTATACAGAACAAATTATATATTTCCCTGCTTCTTTCAAGACTTTGTTTTTTGTCTTTGGTTTTCAGTAGTTCAAACACGTGTCTTGGTGTAGGCCTATTTGAGTTCATCTGGAGTGGGTGATGACGTCCAGTTTCTATTTCAGAAGTTTGACATGAGGATTGAGCGATTGAAGTGTCTGGTTCACCAGAGTTGTGAGCCCTCCCCCATCGCCAGGCTGTCATTCCTTGCCTGGGCTAGGGACTAGATCTGAGCCCAGGGATGAGACCACAAGAAACCAGATTACATGTATGGACCTGAGTGTGGCTTTCTCAGCTCTTCTTAGACAGATGTGCCTGAATAGCTTCCTTTCCAAAGCCTGTCATCTCCAGAAGCCCCTCCTATGGTGTATTGCCATCTGTCGTCTCTGTTCCAGGTATCTGTGGGTCCAAAGACCCTGCTGTGTCTTTCCTCAGTTGAGACTTGAGCTGGATAAAAGTCTTGTGGGCTACCCCTAGATTGTTAAAGACAGTAAAGTTTATTTTGCCCTGTCCAGTTTGAGAAAGGGAACCAGGAATTCAGCCGCCGTCTTCCCCAGGCAAATGCCATGCTCTGGTTCTGGATGAACTATAAGCTTTGTGAGCACAAGCACAGCAATTAGTCCATATGCCACAGCCTGGCACTAGGTAGAGGAATGGATGGATGGGTGGATAGATAGACAGACAGACAGACGGATGGACAGACAGACAGATGGATGGATGAATGGATGGATCTGAGAAGTGGTTAGCTTACCCCAAATGAGCACTTCCTGCACGACTCCCTCCCCTTCCAATGCTTGACTCTTCTTTCCTTCTCGCAGCAGTGTTGACAGTAAGATCTTAGGATGGAGAGTCGTGCATGCTTGGCAAGCTTCAGAGTGTGAGACTGAAAAATATGTTTAATTTGTAGAACCGAAAGGAGGGATTTCCTGCTAGAGTTTGGGGTCCTGGAAGCAGAAAAGAGTTCCACTCAGAATCAAGAGACACAACCTCCAATCTCATTTTCCTAAGTGAGGGTCTTTCGACTTGTTCTAGTGATGGGGAGTGATGTGGCTTAGTGAAGAAGAGCAACCCCCCCCCCCAGTGGCTTGGCAGTCACTGGAGCAGAAGCCAGGGGTCCAAAGTCCCCAGTCTCTAGGATCAACAGGGTGGATCACACCTATCCAGCCTCTGCTGCAAGTTCTAATCAGAATTCCCTCCCTGAAGCCTAGCTGAAGGGCTACTTCAAGGGAGAGCAATGTTTCATACCAGGAACACCGTTCCCACCTTCCCTGAGTCCCCACTTCCCCCCATCCCTCATCCCCCCCCCCCCCCCGACTCCTACCTCCCACCTCCCTCAGATTGGGACAGACTCTTCCTGCCCACCTTCAAGCTCTACCCTGTTTTTCTTGCAGTTGCCTGGGAATACGGCAATGAAGCTGGGCGCAGCGGCCTTGTGCCTGTGCCTCCTTGCAGTAGCAGTGTGGCTGGGCCTCTCAATGACAACATCGGAGTCATCTGGAGGAGGGCCTGGAGGAGGTGGAGGAGGGCCTGGAGGAGGTGGAGGAGGAGGAAGAAAAAAATGTTCTCCTACACCCTTGCCGAAAGCAGACGTCTCACTGTGCCGGTAAACAGAGCAGGCAGAGTGGGAAGGGGCGGCCTCCTGGAGTGGGCACCCAGAACTCAGTGGCACCGTGTCTTAGCCAGCTTTTGCGAGAGCAAGCATAAAGCCTGGAGACCACCTTGACAGAGGGTGATGGGGTCAGGGGTGTGCTGAGGAGAAGACCCCGAAGATAAAGCTAGTCATCAAGATCCACCCAGAAAGCCCCCTCCCTGAGGTTTCCAACAAAGTGGCCTTTTAATGAAAAGAAGGCGTGCTCACCATCAGAGACGGATTTTTTTTTTCTTTTTTTCATTTTTTTTTTTTTTAAAGCAGTTAGGCCCGTGTGTGTTTTGCCAGGGAGTGAGCGCGGTCCCAGCTGGAGCCCAGCTACCTTCATTCCTTCCAAGGCCACAGGCGCTCCCCACTCTGGGTTGCCACCCGCTGCAGACCCTGGAGTTCTGCACTCGCCTCACAGCCGGTAGATTGGAAATGTGAGTCTTCGTTTTCCCAGACTCCTGAGCCGTCCTGAGGTTTCCCTTTCCTTTGCCGCGTTTCGGCCATTCTCTCTGCCCGTTGGGAGCTGAGGAGACTTGCCACACCCTAAAATCACCCGAGAAACCCGAATTGAGGACTTGCCTCCATCAGACTGGCCTACGGGCATTTCTTTGACTAGTGATTGACGATTGACGTGAGAGGGCCCAGCCCACTGTGAATAGTGCAACCTCTAGGCAGGTGGCCCTGGGTCCTATAAGAAAGCAAAGTGAGAAGGCCATGGAAACCAGCCAGGAAGCAGTGTTCCTCCGTGGTCTTTGCCTCTAGGTTCCTGCCATGGCTTCCCCAACGATGGGCTGTCAAGTGTATCATGAAATAAACCCTTTCTTCTCCCAAGTTGGTTTGGTCCCTGATTTACCACAGCAACGGAAGGAAAACTAGGAAAGAACACAGAACCACCCGCTAGGGACCAACTGTTCAAACACATGAGCCTATGGGGAACATTTCTATCCAAGCCTCAAGACCTTTGTAAGAGGTGGCCTTGGAAATGAAGACATGGCATGGACATGTCAGCCCGGAAGGCAGAGCAATCCCTTCTGTGCTGGATCTCTCCTAAGGAGACCTGCTTAGCTCAGCTTCTAGCCTTGAGGGTGGTGCCTGCTCCTCTGTGGAGTCTGGCAGGGAATTCTGGGATGTTGAACTTAGTACTTAGAGGCATGAATCCATGAAGGAGAAATGTTACTTCTGTTTCAAGTGAAGATAAATTATCATTAAGCATGATTTTCAAGGCAAGGCCTTGCCTACATCTGGCAGAACCTAGGCTCAGTCTCAGACCTGGAACAACTATGGGGATCCATCTGACTTTGTTTGGTACCCTCCATGGCTGCAGCAAATGTGTGTGGATAGTCCTGTAAACCTTCCCGACGATGGGGAGCATCTCCCAGAGCCATGCTGAAGGTCTCAGCCTTTCAGAGCACCCCCTTACCTCCAGGCCTAGGGCTCTTCTTTAACTTCAGCCCACTTCCCCTCATTTTTTGCTTAGGGGACTGCATAAGACAACTACCAGTTCTTTCTTACTAAAGGAAAACACTCTGAGGTGTATGTAAGTTTAGAAACACCTTGCCCCCCGCCCATGCTTCTTGGCATATCTTTCTACGTGAAGCAGCCTGCTGCCTTTCACACACTGGGCTGGCAATGCCCTATGGGTAAGATGGGTGGGCAACAAGAACACAGAACCTGATCCCCTGGCAGGTCCTGTCAAGCAGTTTCCATGGCTCCGAGCCCATCCACCAAACAAAGCTGCTGACATCAATTGTTTAACCCTTTCAGTTCCACTAGGATAAACGGGGGGGGGGGGGGGGGGGGGGACCTGCTATGGGGCGGGGAGGCCCCTCTGTTTTCACCTCCCTGTGACGCTCAGTTTTTCCCAAGTCCCTGCCACATGCAGACTGTTTCTCTTGTGTGAGAGAGTGTGACTAGACCGGAGGCAGAAGTAAGCCAACTAGTCTTTAGAATGTTGCTACAAATATACATGAAAAAGAAACACGCCTTGAATCCCAGCACTCTGGAGGCAGAGGCAGGTGGATCCCTGTGAGTTCCAGGCCAGCCTGGTCTACAGAGGGAGTTCCAGGCCAGCTTGGTCTACAGAGGGAGTTCCAGGCCAGCCTGGTCTACAGAGGGAGTTCCAGGCCAGCCTGGGCTACAGAGGGAGATCCAGGACAGCCAAGGCTACACAGGGAAACCCTGTCTCAACAAACAAACATGAATGAATGAATGAATGAATGAAAACCTATCGAGAGCTGCTAGTAGCAAAAGTCCATGGAGTATACAGCAATGACAACCAGAGTTCAGAAGGTCAACCTATCAGAACTAAGGGTTCTGTTTAGAAGAAACCATCACGCAAGGCGTTATGGAATTACTGCCTTTTGAATGAGCTGGCTGTCTCTTGTTGTAAACTTCTGGTGCAATAACAGCTATGATTCTCCCCATTTACCGTGCATCTCCATGTTATGTGTACATGCAATCTCACAACTGCATCTCAATCTTGGGCACAACTTTCCCTATACATTTGAGGTAACTAGATAACTTTCCCCAGCTGTGTTTATTTTTCATTAACATGAATCTGGCCAGGGCCATTCTCCAGACAAAAGTATTTCAGCAAAGATACCTTTTTCCAAGGACAAGAGAAATAAACATTAGCTCATCTCACCCACAGAGAGAGAAAAGAACCACTAACAATTAAATTCTCAACCCCTTACCTTCACCCCAGGTTATTTACACAAGACCCTAACTTAAGAGATTTACTGCTCACAGTCCTGGGATGATGTTTTAGCCATTTGTTAGTTACTGAGTTAAGGCAGTTACTTCCTACTGACCCAAGAAGATTGCCTACAAGGCCAGGCAGGTGATAGGTGCCAAGCTTCTTTCTTGTGCAAATTAAGTTTTAATTCCTCCTCAGCCAGGTGCTATTCCTAGATTTTCTCCTCAGCAGTTACTCTGAGTGAAAGTGCTTTTATTAACCAAATGCTACACGCTCTGACATATAAGTTGCTTAGCCACCTAGCATCCGTCCCCCTCCGTATCAGAAAGCAGCTGCAGCCTGGACGAGCAGGAAAAGCATCGCCAAAGACAGTTTGTTTTCTTGTGACTTACTGACCCCTAACATTCTACCCAGCCATTTCTAGATTATAGTTTGAGCACATAAATTCCCTAATTGATCTAAGCCTTTAGTTGACCCTACAAGAGAACTCCCCTTTAGTCACTCCCCTTTTGGGTTGTAATTGGAAGCTGACAATTATTGCTTTATGTGTGGGTCCTTATCGCCTCTCTCTGCGACCCTGAAAACTTCAAGCCTCTCATTACTTTGCCAAAAAAGTCCTGCTTGGGTATATATACTGGTTGTCTGAGAGCATTTAGAGAATGGATGGAGAAGAGCAAAGATGAGGACGGAGATGGAAAGAACTAGGTAGAGATGAGAGAACAGCAGAAGGGACTGAGAGCAGGAGGGACTGAGAGGAGCTAAGTATGAGAACAGAAAAGAAACTGTATAGGTAGAATTGACTGAGAAGAAGAAAGTGAATGGACTAAAGAACTCAGCGTGCTTAGCTTCATTGAATATCCCTCAGATTAGTATCCTTAGCCGCTTGCAGCATCTGTTCTGGACCCTGATAGAAATCTCCTCAAGGCAGACACTTGGGGGGAATTCATTAAAAACCCATTCCCTAAGATGTCTTCAAAAACTGCCCAAACCACCGGGCGGTGGTGGCGCGCGCCTTTAATCCCAGCACTCGGGAGGCAGAGGCAGGCGGATCTTTGTAAGTTCGAGGCCAGCCTGGGCTACCAAGTGAGTTCCAGGAAAGGCGCAAAGCTACACAGAGAAACCCTGTCTCGAAAAACAAAAACAAGGAAGACTCTTAGCTCAGTGGTAGAGCCCTTGCCTAGCAAGCGCAAGGCCCTGGGTTCGATTCTCAGCTCCAAAAAAAAAAAAAAAAAGAAAAGAAAAACAAAAACAAAAACAAAAAAAACCCCTGCCCAAACCATGCCATCCCAAAAGAGTGCTGTCCACATGCAGAGAGTTAATAGAAACAAAGAACACGCCTGAAGGGTTGCTTTGGCCAACTCATACTAATTCTTCCGCCTTCTGGCACCACAGTGACCATGTCTAGATGGTGGGGGTGCCCACCCACCAAAGCACCCTATGTTTGGACCAAAGCAACCCATGGACTCAGCTGCCTTTGCCCAAAGCTGAACCTCGAGCTGCCGGAAGGATGGGGGACGAGGGGTTGGAAGGGCCATGTGGGGCTCACTAGGAGACTGCCCTGAGCCTCTTCTCAGCTCTACTCTGCAGGAATTCTCCTGAAGATACAATCCTTAAATTACATTCTCCCTGGGTGTCCTCCAGGTATCACCCCAGCAAGGCATGGTGGACTGTTGTAGGTAGCCATTATCTATTTTGGGAATAGCTCAGCTCTGTTGGGCTACTAGAAAAGGCTGGGGACCACACCACCTGCTCTTTGTGTGTAATAAGAATGTTCTGACAAGTTCAAGTGTAATGTCCTTATAGGCCAAATTCGATTTTTTTTTTTAACTGCACAGATGTGGCAGGGTTCACACCTGTGGATGCAACCAACCATGACTTGGAAATGTTTGGGTAGGAGGATTACCTCTGATCCAGGTGTGGTCACACATTTATAAGCCAAGCACTCAGCAGGTTGAGGTCTGAAGACAAGCCCAAGGGCAGCCTGTCTCAAAAAGAAAAAGAAAGAAGGCAGGGGCTGTGGGAGTATCGCTCAATGGTAGAGTGCTTTCCTGGTATGTACAAGTCCCTGGGTACCACATACACACATAAACATATGCATGCATACATATACACATATATGTTCATAAACACGCATGCATAAACAATATATACACAAACAGGTATACACATACATCGATATACATACATACACAAATACACACATGTACACACACACACATTGCTTAAGTACTGGGCAAGTGCAGACTTTTGTCTTCATTTCCTGAAAGACACTACTGCACAGCAGTTTTGCTTGTGTGTATCATAAACAATATAGAGATAATCTGACTACACAGAAATACGTGTGTGTGTGTTAATGCAGACAATCATACCATTTTCTTGAGGGACTCACATATCTGAGGGTGTCCATGGGTCAGGTGTCCTGGAACCGATCTCAGGGCACACCAAGGATGACTACATTCTTCCTGGGCCACTCACAGTGTGCCAGGCTTTGCTCCACCAGCTGACCAACGCTGTATCCCCACACCAACCCTACGGAGCAGGCACTATCCCTGTCGCAGACAAGAAGACCTAGGACAGTGACATCAGGCAGCTCTTGGGTCACACAGCTAGTTAGTGGCGGGTTTAGAATTTAATCCCATTTAATTCTGCATGCCCAGTGGTGCTAGACTATCGCCTTGTGAGCCCCAGAATTGCCTGGAAACCCTGGCATGAAGTGGCTGCCCTTTTCTTTCCATAGGGACCTTGAAGTTTCCTACCCAGAGTTGGGGAACATCAGCTGCCGAGTTGTTCCCAAGTGCAACATGTACAGACGGAAGATCACAAATTGGCCCCAGCCGAAAGTCAAGTATCCCGCCGCCTTGGATGTGAGTGAATTGGGTTGGCTGCGGGAGAGAGGTCCTGGCTTGCCTTTGGCTCACTGTTCTTGGGAACTTGGAACCCCATGTAGAGGCCCCAGGGCCAGGCTTGCAGGAGGCAGGTAGCTATTGCTTAGAGCAGTGGCTCTCAACCTTCCTAACGCTGCAACCCTTTAATACAGTTCCTCATGGTGCGGTGACCCCCCCCCCCAAGCTATAAAATTATTTTCACTGCTGCTTCATAACCGTAATTTTGCTACTGTTGTGAATCATAATGTAAATATCTGATATGCAGATGGTCTTAGGCGACCCCTGTGACAGGGTCATTTGACACCCCCCCAAAGGGGTCATGACCCACAGGTGGAGAATGACAGACTTAAAGGTTGTGTGGAAACTAATACATCCCTGTAGGATGGGACCTTTGGACGCGCTGTTAACTCCATTAGTTCATTAAACCCAAGAGTCTCCCACTGTGTGTTGCTATTGCAGCAGGGATCCACTAGATGGAAGCGTCGACTGCCAAGCTCCTGGTCTCCCTCACGGGAGGAATAGGAGGCCAATTAGGAGAGTCTGGTTTCCCCGGGTGTACTGCATTGTGCTGGGATGTGCACACATGACAGAGAAGTGAAATCTGCTGTTTTAGCATGGAGGTGAGGGTGGGATGGAGAGAAAAGAGACTTAACGCGACCAAGGAGAATCAAGATTCCGGAAGGAAGGAGGTTTGGTGGAAGGAGAGGGCAGAAAGAAAAAAAGGGGTGTGTACTCGTGTAGACCTGATGCTTTCTGAAAACGTAACAGACCGGTGAGCAGGTAAAGCCAGGCTACCGTGAAGCTTGTACCAAGTGTCACTTCATGCGTTTATACCGTCGGTCCACTCGGTTCTCTCATCAAGTCTGGGGACGAGGTATTTGCTTTCGTAAAGGGGTTAGTGGTAAGTCCCAGGATCCTGACTGGATTACGTGTTTGTCCCCAAACCAAGCAGTGGCTCCGGTTCTCTACACGAAGGGCTTTGGGGGGGGGCGGGTAGCCAGGGCTGTTCTGATGGATGTCAGGATCTAGCCGGTGCTAACCTGGGCAGTGGCAGAGCCAGGCTCAGCCCATAGGTCTGTGCAATGTCCGACTCTAGAACCCTTGGGCTCCAGCAGTCAATCATTACCAAGGGCTCTGAGGGGGACTTGGGGGGCAGGTGCTGAAGGCAAGTTGCTCTGGTGAAAACGGAAAGGGGTGGGAAGGACCATAGGGATCGTCCTTAAAGACGGTGGTGACTGGAGCTTCCTTGAAGAGCTCAAGGGAGGAGACAGCCATAGAGGGAGTGACAGGTAGTGCTGGAGAGGAAGCAGGTGTCATACTGGAACAGGGTACCTCAAAAGCCAGGCAGGGGTGGGAAGGACTTGAGTCTTAAGATAGAGGAGGAAGGCATTTCCTCAGAGTCCCCAGGGTTGATGGAAGAAGGCAAGCACTGGCATGCGGCTCAGCGGAAACAGCACCTCGTTTCCAAAGTGGCTGAATTTAAGTCATCAAAGTGACAACTATCACGGGACTTGACCAGGGAGATCCCACCCCCACCTTGCCAAGCAAGCTCTGAGGCCTGGGAAAGAGTGCCTCAGGCATGGGGCAGGCCTCTGTGCCCCCATGGAGGTCCCTAGACCTTTGCACAGGCTTCCCCCATATTTGGGCCTTGCTTCCTCCTCCAGGAAGCCTTCCCTGACTGCTGGCTCTGAACCTCACTTCTATCCTTGCTGATAATGTCTTTCTCCAAGCTCTTTAAATACCCCCTGCCTTCTAACCAGAGCATTGGGCTCTTTCTCTTGCTCAACCTTATCTCATACCACAGCAATCGCCTTGAAAAACACTTGATTCACCTACAGTCCCTGCTGGCATGGCTGACTGGGTAAGAGGGAGTGAATGAAGAAGTGATGGATGGATGGATGGATGGATGGATGGATGGATGGATGGATCAATGAGTGATGGATAGGTGAATGGATAGATGAGTGGATGGATAAATAGATGGGTGGACATACAAGCGTATGGATAGATGTTCAGATGGACAGATGATGAGTAGTTGGATGGATGGGCACGTGGATGGATGAACATGTGGACGGATGGATGTGCATATGAATGGATAGGTGAGTGAATGGGTGGGTAGATGGATGAATGAATGAATGGCTGGCAGGTATAAAAGCATTCCCTGGTGTATAAACTATGAATGGTAAGCCCCACTGCTTGCCAGTTAAGCTGTTTGGAGTCCTGGGCATTGTTGAGACCAGGGGCTCAGGAAAATATTCCCTTCCCAGGTGGAGCTAGCTAAGAATGGGAAGGGAGAACAGGAAGGGGGATGGAGAAGGTCAGGGGTCCTCAAAGGGCAAAGGAATTCAGGAAGCAGGATGCCTCCCTGTGATCTGTGGCGGCGGAGAGCCGAGGGCCAAGAGCAAGCCGGTTAGTGGATGCTTTTCTCTCCCCGTGTTCTCTCCCCTGGTGTTCCTTCCGACACACATCAAGTGGCCAACGTTTTAAAATGCATCCCGTTCTCCAGTCAAGGAAAACTGAAAAGCCCTGAGAAGCGTCTTGACTAAAGCTTATTCTTCACCTTAAATCTAAGCAGCTGGAATCCTTTCGAAAGGAACAAATTGCCCTTAAGTGGGGAGTGTGTGCCGCATTAGAGCACCAGAACAAAAGCCACAGTGCTCTGTCCTGCTGTCCCTTAGGCTGCCAATCAGGAGTCTGAAAGCAAGTGACCCTGAATGTTCTCCAGAGCTGAGCAGGCACATCCGCCTGCCAACTGTGGCTGCAGCAGCATGGCTGTGTGGCCGTCCCCTAAGGACCACCTCCTTGCCCACATTGTGGAGACGAATTTCTCAAGGGCTAGCAATCTGGAGACAGGCACAAGGCATGGGCAGCCACAGACGGCCTATAGGAGGGCTCAGATCCACAGGCCTACCCCAGCCTTCTCTTTCCACACAGAGTAGGAGTGTGGGGCCTGCTACAGTCACAAAATAGTTCACTGGGGAATGACACAGGGCTTCCGGAACCCTGGATAATTCTGGGCAGGGTGGCTCCTGGTGGAAGGGACAGATTTATGGGGCCTGGAAGCAGGCCTTCCAAGCAGGTGGGGAGTATACATGCATACAGGGACTGCTGCCTGTAGGCATTTGCTCAAGGGTCTGCGACCACACAACGATCCACATGCTGTGTGCTCAGCACCATGTAAGTGCTATCGATTTAAAGATAGGAGACGCCATCGCTTCCAGAATAAGTGGAGGAGGCAGACAGGTAGCCCCGAAACAGAGGGATATAGAGTACCTGTGGGCCTTGACTAGTGAGGGACAGACAGCAGCTGGAATGGCCACGTGGAAAAGTGAGGCATGGGATGCAGCAGGGTCCTGATGTGGAGCCAGGATTTTGTCTTGAAGTCGCTCTCTAGTGTTTAGGCTGAGGACTGTGAGCAACTTCGGAAGGGCAAGGTCACTGTGGCAGCAGACAGGGTGGGGGAGGGAGACTGAAGGCCTCCCATGGCAATGTAGTAAGAGATGTCAGGGTAGTGGTATTCATAGGGTGTTGTGTCTGTGGGGATATCAGGAGAAGGGTAGTGTGGGTGTAATCCTCAGGTTTCTGGGAGAGATGGGCAGGTGGGTTTGAGTGAGGTTGAATACCTGCTTTATCATTCCAAACAGGATCTTAGGAGAATGGAGGCCGTATTGTTTATAATCGTGCCTGGATGTGGTCTCACTGGGCACAGTCCCATCACACAGGAGTGTACACTGATCCTGAGAATGTCACCTCCATCAAGCAAGGGGCACAAAGGAAGCCTTAGCTCTCCAGGGACAGCCCCCGGAAGTAGCAGCTTCTGTTGTTCAGCATCTGAGGACCGTGTGTGTGGAACAGATCTGCAGACAAACACACAGCCTTGTCTGAGTGATGTCAGACAGAAAGACTGGACTGGGCACCGGGAACAAGGTCTTTAGTGCCCGAGCCAGGTGAAGTTTGTAGACCAGTGGTTCTCAGCCTTCCTAATGCTGTGACCCTTTAATACAGTTCCTCGTGTTGTGGTGACCCCCAACCGTAACATTACTTCTTTGCTACTTCACAACTGTAATTTTGCTACCGTTATGAATATTAATGTAAATATCTGATATGCAGGACATCTGATATGTGAACTCCAATGGGGTCACAACCCACAGGTCGAGAACCACTGGTATAGAGGAAGCCTCTCAAGGATGTGGCAAGCTTAATAGGTGCTGGCCAGAGATGCTGGGTTAGACAGGCGCTGGAAAACACGCATTGGAACCGACCACGAGGGAGTCCTTGGTGGCCCTCGTGAGGGCAGGGGGAGAATGAGAAGTGGGTATTGTAGAGTAGGCTGGTTACTCATGTCAGTTGGCTGAGAGACAAAGACACCCAGGAGTATTTAGATCTGACAGGACAGAGCAGCTAGGTAAGAGCAATGCCGGACTGGGGGAATAGAGACGGCTTGGTCCTGTTGGAAACGTTCCCATCTGTCCATCCAGAGATGGACAGTAGCAGGCAGTCAACAAAGAGACTTGCAGCTGGCCCCATATACCTTGGAACTGACTGGACCACGAGAGGCCGGAACTCCCAAAGGTCAGGAAGTGGAAGAGGGGGAGCTGCCAGCTCTGGGGTGAGGGCCCTGTGTACTGGAATCCCTCCAGCCGAGCCCCAACTCCAGGGCATAGAAACGATGTGGGAAGGATCCCAGAAATGAGGGAAGGGCTTTGGGCACAGAACACAAGGGATGCTCGTGCTGTTGGGCAGGACAAGAAAGGAAAAGGAAGTGAAGGAGAAGAAAGTGAGAGGCAGTAGCTGTGGGGAGGGGTCATGGTGTCCTTGTCCCCTGCCTTCCCCCAGATAAGAGAGGGAATCCTACCACCCTAGAACAGAGGTCTAAGAGCAGAAGATAAAGTGTGACAGGATGAGGGGACCACCAGCAGGAAGGCCACCGACACACCACATGATGGTTTAGAGAAGAACTGATGAGATATTTTCTCACTACC